CTCGGAACCTAGTTTGTGTTTATATACATACATATTTTCTTAATTTCATTGCCATTTGTTAAATCTGCCAACCCAATAAAGGAAACCCAGTAAGCATACAAGGTTGCTGAAATGACAAAATAGGTTTAAGCGTTCAATTTCTGGGAAAAATTTACGAAGAAAATTGAGATATTAGACAAGCTTAAGAGTGGTCATGTGTGGTGGAAAATAGGGGAGGGCCTAGGGCCCTTTAAATGAAGCGTCGGTTCATATAATTAAAAGAACGAGGCGAATATACGAGCTTGTGTAATGAATAACCCAAAGATGTCACCTCATGAAAAGAATGACACGTGGGTCCCAAAAAGTAAATAAAACAGAAAACTTGTTGCTTGAGTGGATTGAATAAAGACAAAGAAAGGTGCACCACTTAATTTCCTCTTCACCCTTTGACTGTTTTGGTCGTATATATACGTCCTACGCACCACTGCTTCGGACTATTTATACACGTAAATTCTAGCACTTCAAATCAAGCAGGAGAAAGCTGGTAGCCCACATGTGAGAGAATGGGTCTGTGTGGTCAGTGGGCACCACATAAAAAAAATCCTGCAGCACGCAGTGCACAATGAGAAAAAAAAAACTGAACGTTTTTTTGGATTAAAACGCCAACTTTGAGGTGTATTTTCGTATAGTATTTATCGTTGTATTCTCGTTTTCATGGTCTCACGTGATAAAATGGAAAACATGTTACAGAAATTGAGATGATTTTGATTAGTTTCACGAAGAAAACGACCTTGAAATTGAGCTCAAATTAGCGGAAATGTTCGATTTTTACCAATGTTCAGGAGTAAGCAAATCACACCACACGTCCAATACACATCAACTGGGGAGTCTGATATTCTTTCACTAGTGCACTGATATTATTCATACCATTTTTACAATAATGCAGAAGTCTGCATAACAGTAAATTTTGTATTTTTTGTATGAATAAAAAATCAAAATAGAAAGCAATAGTAATATAAGAGGGGCCTAGAGACGTGACTAATGAACAGAGGATATGTTATTTTAGTGCCAAGAATGTCTACATTATTTATTCTGGACCCTATTTTGAAATTGGCATCTTTTTTAATTTACATGAAATTGGCCAAATTGCCAATTTCATGTAAATTCATGTAGTTCAAATCGGTAAATGGGCGGTTTCTTGTACTCACTGATATAAAAAATGGAATTCTAAAGAAATAGTTATGAGTTTGGTCAACAGGAACAATGGAATTGGCCAAAAACAGGGCTCAAAGTTGGTGAAATCGCCGATGCGTACATGTCACTGAGACCGCTAACCTCGCGGGAGCATAATTCCGTGAGTTTTTGACCAAATTTGGTACTTTTGGTGTCATTACCATTGGGAAAAGATTCTCTATCATTTCATAAGAAAAAATAATTTTTTTTTCCCAAAAATTTTGCAGCATAGAATGAGTTTCAGAAAGGGGCTTGCGACAGTCAAAGGGTTAATTAGGGAAAAGACCTTACAGTTGTTTAAAGCAGTGTGTGATAAGGAAGGAAAGCCTGAAAAAGTGTGTGTGTTTAGCACAGGCTGGTTCCACACCTTTAAGTTGCATAATAAGTTACATAATATTAAGCTTTCTGGTGAAACTGCTTCAGCTGATCATACAGCTGCAAGTAATTTTCCTGCTGAATTGCAGGAAATTATTTCTGAGGGTGGCTATGAGCCACATCAAGTGTTTAATGCTGATGAGACAAATGTTTTTTGGAAAAAAATGCCAACACGAACTTATATCAGTCAACATGAGAAGAGTGCACCGGGCTTCAAGGCAGCAAAGGACCGCTTCACCTTGCTCCTTTGCAGTACTGCATCAAGTGATTTCAAGTGTAAGCCCATGGTTATTTACCGCTCTAAGAATCCTCGTGTTTTGAAAGGTGTAGATAAAAACAACTTACCAGTAATTTGGAGGTCAAATAGTCAGCATGGATGACAGAGGAAATATTTATTGACTGGTTTAAGCATCACTTTATTCCTGAAGTCAAGTTTTACCTACACAGCAAGAACCTTGCATTCAAGACTCTCTTCAAGCTTTGCTGGATGTGACCCCACATGTAAAAGTTGTATTTTTACCTCCAAATACAACATATTTAATACAACCCATGGATTGGGGAGTTATTAAATCATTCAAGTTTAACTACACAAAAAAAGTTATGAAAAAACTAGTTGAATCAATGGACTCTGATTCCAACTTGGCAGTACCAAGCTTCTGGAATAAATTTAGCATTGCAGATGCTATCAGCTATGCTGGAAGTGCATGGAATGAAGTGCCTCAATCAACATTATAATGCAGGCTGGGGAAAGTTATGGCCTTCTGTAGTTAATTCTTTCACTGGTATTCCCTTGCTGAGAGTCAGGTTCAGGAAACTGTTCAGCTGGCAAGGAGATTACCAGGTGATGGTTTTGAAGATATGAATGAAGATGATGTGAATGAGCTCTTAGAAGATGATGATGATGATGAAGACAGGAGTCCAGAGGAAATGTTAGCAGAGCTCAATGCACAGATATAAGGGAGGGACATAGCAGAAGATGAAGAAGAACCTGAAGAAAAACAGTTAATATTGCAGCAGTTATGTAAGCAGTTCCATATTATTGGTAAAGTTGCAGACTTTTTCACTGAAGAGGACCCTGACAAATCTAGAAGCAGTGCTTCGAAACAGGGTCTAGACCAGTTGATGATGCCTTATCATCAGCTGTGTAATGTATTGCAGGGTAAAACAGCTCAGAGAACCATTACAGAATTTATGCACACTCCAATACAACCATCGACTTCAGTACCAGTACCTCTACCATCCACTTCTGTCGACAACCAACAACTGTCCACCTCAGCCCAGTAGGGCCACACCATCCATATCTACTCTCTCCACAATCATCCATACACACCATTACCCACAATTTAAGGTAAGAAATGCTGTTATTTCTATTGTATTTGTAGTCTTAAGCAGTAATATATCACGACAATGAACAACAATTACATGTTCACTTTTATTTTTGTAAGATCTGTTGGTCTAAAATAAAAATTGTTCGACTTTTTGGGGGCTCCCAGGAATGTAACCCTATTTCTCCCATAACTTCTTCAGTTCATTTAGCACAATTTTACCTAACACTGCATTTTCAGGAACATAACTACCTTGCTAAATAATGATCTACTGTAATAAAATATTATTAAACACAAAAGAAAGCCACTAGCATGCATCCAAACTGCAACATTCCTTCCCATCCATCAGAGTACAGGTACTGTTGTTCCCACCTCCACAACTCAAGCCAGGCTAACCAGTTACCCTGAATCCCTTCATAGATTTTACACTGCTCATACACGGAAATAAATACAACACCTATCTCAGTTCACCCTGATCTACCACGCTCACACACGCCTGCTGATACTTTAGCCCTGGCCTCTTAAAACTTCTTGACAGCTAATGATGATGGTAAGCCATGGGGATGTTTGGGATGCTATAAACAACATTTTTAATCTTAAACTAGTACGGTATTTTACAGCATCAAAGATGCTGTTTTTTCCCAAAGTAAGTCTAGGTAAGTACTTTCCCAAAGTAAGTCTGGAAATTTTACCCAGCATCTTGGAAGTCAAAGATTATGTTGGTCATAGGCCCAAACCTAGAGAAGTGTTTCCATATTAGGCAGTAACCTAAGCGCGTGTATATGACTCAATAATGAATAAATAACAAAAATAAATTTATCGCATTTTAACTCATTTTAAGAAGGAGTCTTATATTTCCAAAATTTAGCCAGTCAGAACTGAGAGGCATCCTAAACACCAGAGCATCTCGTTCGCTATAAAATACAGTAAGTGGAACACACTAGATATGAACTAGTGGTAAAGGCAAACAATGTACATACTTTCAAGAAGAGATATTATCACACCCTAGAGGCCAAAAATCAGTGAAATTGGTCAATAAGAGGCACAATGAGCAGCTATAATTCAACTTCTGCATAAACCAGAAGAGACCTGTAAATTATTTTATACACAGCAAGTGGTGGTACTGTCCCCCACTTCTAATAAGTGAGGAAAGTATGTTTTTTTTTTTTTTTGAAAAGCACTAAGCTCATAGCATAGAGATCTATACAAGAGAGCTAAAAGTGTCTGTAGTAAAAGTGGAAGCATAAGGGAGGAAGACAAAGTGTCTGTAGTAAAAGTGGAAGCATAAGGGAGGAAGACAAAGTGTCTGTAGTAAAAGTGGAAGCATAAGGGAGGAAGACAAAGTGTCTGTAGTAAAAGTGGAAGCATAAGGGAGGAAGACAAAGTGTCTATAGTAAAAGTGGAAGCATAAGGGAGGAAGACAAAGCAAACATGTCAGTGTATTAAGATGATTTCTCTAATAAGGTCAACATGAACTCTGGTAAAGTGTACACATACTGTATATGAAATGTTGGGAGTCAGTTTGTGATCAGCCAGGCTGTTGCTGTGGCAGGTCAACCCTTGAGCTGTCAAGAAGCATGATCTAGGACTGGGCTACAGGAGCACTGAACCACAAAAATATCCTCCAGGTATCAGTCACCACAAACATTTTTAACTCTTTTTCTACACAACTTTTCATTCTTTCCACCCCATGAAAGTGAAAAGTAATGCAGTAACAATAATTGAAAATATTCAACATGCATTACAGGCATACCTCACTAATATGGTGGGCTTGGTTCCAGACCTCCGCTGTAAAGTAAATATCGCCTTAAAGTGAATCACAGCAGTTTTTTCACTTGCCAGGGCATATTACAGCCTAAAACATATTTATTAATTGCACAATAATACTAGGCCTAAAAAACAATGCAACAGCAAAAAATAATAAATATAACAAAATGCTACAGTGTTGCAAGACAAGCACCAAAAATAATAAACACGAATATAATTGAAAAGCCCCATATTAGCAAAGCGCTCTAAAGCCAAGTGCCACAAAGCAAGATACCACTGTACTTACTACATAGCACACAATGCTAGGTCAAACTGACTCACCTCCATTCCAGGCTACATTGTTTGATCCAGTCACTAGAAACTGTTTCAACTTGGCCAGTGAAGGATCACTTTCTGCTGCCATCATGGCTCTTTATAAGATGTGTTTGTTTTGCACCTTCCACTAGTTCCACCAACACCTGGAAAACATGTATGTACAATAATGAATTACACATTATCACAGACAACACATCTGATTACTATCTCACTTACCCTGCCACCAGTATAACAACATTATTACTTGAAATATCCTTCTGATCACTATCTCACTCTCCTAGTCACCAGTATAACAAAATAACCACTTCAAACTATTCAAATATCGTTCAGGCTCCATGAAGAGGCATCAGTGAATAATTTATCATGGTAATCAGCAACAGTGACTGGCAGTGAGAACGTCACAATGCCCAAAACATTAGCTCGAGTGCCCATGTATTCCTCCAAACATTACAAAGCCTTTACAATAGAAATTCTCCATTAGAAACTAAACAGATTGCAACAAAAATGCTAAATAACCTGTGGTTAACAAATGGCATCCTCAGCCCCAATACAAAAAGCATAACTAAGAGAATCAATACAGGCAGGTTACAATAGAACTGTTATTTCTTTATGAGGCACAAACAATGTAGTTTACGTGTAAGAAAACATCAGTAATAATGGTAGATTACTGACAGAATGTTTGGAGCTTGACTAAGCTCCTGGAGAGCAAAACATTGCCATAATATAATGTCACATTAGTTGCATCTGTGTCCATTTACCTAACAAGAAAACATTAGTAGGCACAAAAGAAAGCTGCTAATATGCAAAGCATTTTTGGCATTAATAGCCAAAGTAATAGCACACAGATGTTCCACTCACAGACCTCATAAAGAAATCAAAACAACTAGACAATGCAGACAGTTTCAATTAAATTAGATATAAAAATGGCTTGGAAAAAACTTTCCCAAATATCAGGCACAAGAAAATTCAATGAATTGAAAAAAAAAGTGTTCAAACTATACCAGATGAACCTCCTCTCCAAGCCTTCAAGACAGAAAATAAATTAAATGAATTTTTTTGGCTATAAGAACAAATATTTCAATCAAAATTCTCAACTGTCTTGTCCAGACTGGACATTACTACACTGATAACCACTCAGGCTCACTATTCCCATCTAATTCAACTGAAGTTGCTACAGTAATTATGTTGTTAGGTAAGACACATATGCAACAGTTAGGTATCTTTATTATGAAACGTTTCGCCTACACAGTAGGCTTCTTCAGTCAAGTACAGAAAAGTTGACTGAAGAAGCCTACTGTGTAGGAAAAACGTTTCATAATAAAGATACCTAACTGTTGCATATGTGTCTTACCTAACAACCTGTCGGTATTTTATACCATTTTAATGTTCAGTAATTATGTTAGTGAAAGGTAAAGACGGAAACAAAGACACATCACTAATATGCACGAAAGTTGCTCATGTGTTGTTACAAACTATTGCATCAATGTTGAAAAAATCTAGAGAAACCAAAGCTTTCCTTAGTTTTATTCAAATTCAGATTCAAGTTATTTCCACATAATACATTGTTGATACAGGAATGGATGGCATTTGAATGCACATAAAAAACCCACTGTTATGCAGAGCATTTTGGGCGAACTTAAGCCTAAGACTACAAGGGCAATAAACATTCTATGTAAGTTCTTAGGAACATTAAGTGTATACAGATATATTACAACTAACAGGAGAAAGAATTACACCAGTCTACGAAAGTGTCAAGTCCCATGTCAGTAATTACAGACCAATTTCTAACTTACTATTATAAAAAGCTGGAAAAATATTACAGTGGTACCTCGAGTTTCGAACAGCTCCCAACTCGAACAATTATGTAAGTGTATTTTTGCAAGTGCTTTTGTAAGTGTATTTTTGGGGGTCTGAAATGGACTACTCTAATTTACATTATTCCTTATGGGAACAAATTCGTTCGGCATAGGCACTCGAACAGCCTTCTGGAACAAATTAAGTTCGTAACTCGAGGTACCACTGTATATGAGTATACGTACACATAAATTCCAAAGCAAAGACAATATCCTGAACCTGTCTTAATATGGCTTCAGGCTGTAATGAAGTATCAACAATGTTTAGCTTAACCCCATGACTGTCGCAACCCCAAATCCTGAGGTGCCTCCTGGTGTCGCAAAATTTCCCCCCCAAAAAAAAAAAAAAATTTCTTAGGACATGATAGAGGATCTTTTCCCGATTGTAATGACACCAAAAGAACGAAATTTTATGGAAAACTGACGAAATTACACTCTCGCGAAGTTAGTGACCTCAGCGATATTTACGAATCGGCGATTTCACCCAATTTGAGCCCTATTTTTGGCTAATTCCATTGCTCCAGTTGACCAAACTCATAGCTATTTCTTTAGAACTCCATTTGTTCTATCGATTGAGTACACGAAACTGCCCATTTACCGATTTCAACTACCCAATAACGTGGTCAGAAATTTGCAATTTGGCCAATTTCACGAAAATTAAAAAATATGACAATTTCAAAATAAGGTCCAGAATGAACAATGCAGACATTCCTGGCTCTAAAATAACATTTTCTTTGCTCATCAGTCATGTCTCCAAGCCACTCTGATATTACTCTTGCTTTCTATTTTGAAATTTTATTCAAACAAAAAATAGAAGATTTACTGTTATGCAGACTACTGCAATATTGTAATAATTGTATAAAATAATATCAAACCCATTCATGACTGCATATTAGAATGGCTACTTGGACATTTATTGGAAAATGACATCATTTGTTTACTTTTGAACATCGGCAAAAATCAAACATTTCCCCTACTTTGAGCTCCATTTCAAGGTTTTCATAGTAAAACTTTTCAAAATCACCTCTATTTCTATAATATGTTTTCCATTCTATCAAATGAGACCAAGAAAAAGAGAATACAACGATAAATACTATACGAAAATAGGCCACAAAGTGGGCATTTTAATTAAAAAAAAGGTCAGATTTTTTCTTCTCACTATGCACTGCGTGCTGCAGGATTTTTTTATATGGTGCACACTGACCACACAGACCCATTCTCTCACACGTTGGCCTACCAGCTTTCTCCTGCTAGATTTGAAGCCGCTAGAATTTATGAGTATATATACGTCAAAAACGGTGGCTCGTAAGACGTATGTATACGACCAAAACAGTCGAAGGGCTAATCTGATCTTCTCTTAAAAATAATGAATTTCTAATTAGCCTCTTAACCCTTTAACTCTCCAGATCCCTGAAATAAAACATGCTCTCAATGTTCAAAAATTAAAAAAAAAAAAATCTTCTCAAATGGTAGAGAATTTTTTTTTGTAACATTTTTTTTTATTAACACATTGGCCGTTTCCCACCAAGGCAGGGTGACCAGAAAAAGAAGAAACACTTTCATCATTCACCCCATCACTGTCTTGCCAGAGGTGTGCCTACACTACAGTTAACCCTTAACCCTTAAACGGTCCAAATATATATATACATTCCTCGCGCAGCGCCCCAAACATATATATACATTTTATTTTTCATTCATTCAAAATTGGCGTGATAGGCCTGAGTCGCCTAGACATGAGAGAAGGGGTGTGTGCACTCAGTGTGTGCGGCATAAAAAAAATCTGGGCCGCCTGGGTACCACATGGTAGGACCAGTTACATTCAGCTCCATCTTGGGTCAACATATGGCACATCCTCATGATTCACTCACGCCTTGTTGTATTAACCCTTTCGGGGTTTCGGACGTACTAGTACGGCTTACGTGCAGGGGTTTTTGACGTACTAGTACGCATAAATTCTAGCACCGTCAAATCTCGCGGGAATAGGCTGGTAGGCCTAATGTGAGAGAATGGGTCTGTGTGGTGGGTGTGCACGGTAGAAAAAAATCTGGGACCCAGTGGTACATTGTGGGAACGCCATCTTAGTAAACAATGTCCACCATGCCTCGCGGTAAGAAGTTCCTCACTCCTTGGTGAATTGGGACACTTTTGTTCCCCAGTGACAGTTCTAATACAGATGGAAGTGCCAGTGAAGATGAGTTTCAAGGCTTTGGTGAGGTTTTGACCGAAACTAATGACCATAATATCGGTAATAGTGAGGAAAACCCAGACGACCCTCAGCCTTTCACCTCTGGTGCTGGGCCGTCTTGTTCACGTTCACTTGTACCAGAATCAAAGAGGAAACTCCTATTTTCCCAAATCCCAGACTCAGATGTGAGCATTTGTGATGATAGTGATAGTGATTATGAACTACAAGCTCTTCAAACTAGTTCCAGTAGTGATAGTGAAGTGCAATATTCCCCAGTGAAGCGTTAGTATATACGACGATACATACACTCTGGCAGTGTGCCATATGCTATTCCAAGGGGAAGGAGTACATCTAGGAGTACATCCCGTGGCTGTACAACAGGAACTGACAGTGAAAATGACGATGATACTGTTGCAATTGGGATGGAAAATGTGCATGGTGGTGGTAGTGGTGCCGGCGGTGAGGCACCAGCAGTGGCCCATGCTGCCCCCCACGTTGCTGCCACCCACGCCGCTGCCTCAGCTGATCTACAACAAAGGCCACCATTCCCCACCCACCCATCACACCAGCCTCCACAACCACAACCACCTGTCATTGTCCAGTACCCACCAGCAGGACCGCACCTGGGATTGGCAGGAAGCTGTCAGTTTTGTTCCAAATCCCCACCAGTTTGATGACAGCCAAAGTGGAATACGGCCATGTTGTACACTTGGGAACAATGCCACTGAACTGGAATGTTTTGAGTTATTCTTTGACGAACCCCTGATGGAAAGTATTGTCATGGAAAGCAACACATACTACGAATACACCATGGCAAACACAATACTTTCACCAAAATCACGGCTACACCAGTGGAAGGAGACAACTGTGGCTGAGATGTATCTTTTCTTTGCCACAATACTGCTTATGCCACATGTGTATAAGCACAGAGTGAAATCATACTGGTCAACAGACCGCCTGATTGCAACCCCAGGTTTCAGTGATATAATGCCAGTGAAACAATTTGTGCTAATGTTACGTATGCTTCACTTCTCAGACAAAACCAGGCCTGACAGAAATGACAGGTTATATAAGATTAGGCATGTGTTTGTGTATCTGAAAGAGA